GAGCTTTTCTAACAGGAGTAGTTGGAATGTTTGAGGGGAAAGAACGTAAAGAGTTACTACTGTTTTATCATATTACAAAAAACACTGGAAAAAGTTCAGCCACAGGTTTCCTCTTACCTCCTGTCTCCTTATCTACTCCAAAATATCACACAATTAAGTTATTGTTTTTTTTCCCCTCTTACAGTCTGGCTATGGACAGAAATCAGAGGAAAATGTTGATATGTATTGCCATCAGAGCAACTAGCACTATTTCTATGGGCCCTTCATTATGAGAACAAAATATTAAGTTTATGTGGTTACAAAGCTTTGTATCCATCTTTATGCCATGCCTTCTCTCCTCTGACCAGACTCTGGAGCTCCTCTCCTGTTTGAGGAGGGCTTTCTAGAAGGAATCAGTCTGGAGGCACCATGCTGCTGCTCCCTGGACATCTTCATGACATGCCATTCCCAATCACCTCCCCATTTTCTCACTAGCCCTGGCAATAGAAATCAAAACAACACTGTAATTCCAGAAAAGAACATGTCATTCAAATGCTCTATGGCTTCTCTACAACCATGTGACCTCCAAGGTTAAAACATCCCTCCCTGGTCATCCCTGTCTCATATGTGCTGTCTTCCCCATTAGAATATGAGCTCCTCAAGGGCAGAGGCTTTCTTTTTTCTGTTTTCATCCCTAGTGCTTATCACAGTGTCTGGTACATTGCAAGGACTTAATAAATGCTTTTTTTGTTTGTTTGTTTCATTCATTATTTCAATGACATACTCAGAACCCTATAAAGTATATGGGGAAAGGGTTAAAAAATCCCATTTTATAGACAAGGAAAGTAAGGCTCAGATTAAATGACTTGTCCAAAGTAATGTAGTCAGTGTCAGAAATGAAATTAAAATCACTGAATTTCAGAGTGACTACAATAACACTGGCCTCCTGGCTCCTCCACAAACAAGACACTCCTGTCTGGGGTCCTGACATTGTCTCTGGGTATCCCCCCCATACCTGGAATGCTCACATCTTGCCTACTGACCTCACCGGCATCCTTTAAGTCCCAACTAAAATTCTATCTTCTAAAGGAAGCCTTTCCCAACCCCTCTTAATTCTAGTGGCTTCCCTCTCTCAGTCTTTTCCTATTTACCCTGTATAGAGCTAATTTGTATTTATTTATTTGTTGACTGTCTCCCTCATTAGATTGTGAGCTCCTTGATGGCAGGGTCTGTAATTTTCCTCGTTTTACATCCCCAGTGCTTAGCACAGTGCCTAGCACATAACAGAAGCTTGATCAATGTTCATTGATTGATCCATACCTTTAACTCATCCCTTAAATTCCCCCAACAACACATCCAATAAGTTATCATCCTGCCTTTGCTGGAAGACCTCCAATGGTAGTGAGAGAGGGAAGCAGGGGGACACATCACTTCTTGAGGCATCCCACTACATGGCTGGAATTGTTACTAAATTGTTACTTACGTCAAGCCTAAATTGGCCTCTTTGAACCTTCTACCCAATGCTCTTAATTCTGTTCTCTGAAGTAAAACTGAACAAATTTAATCCCTCTAATACATGACAACTCCTCAAAAACTCTACGACAGCTATCATCTTCCCCGTGACCATTCTATTCCCTAGGTTAAACATTCCCAGTTTCTTCAACAAATCCTCCCATAGCATGAACTTCAGGCCCTTCAACAGCCAAGTCTTGTTTTTGCTCTTTCCATTGCACAAAGCTGTTGCTATGCTGAGTTTTGTATTTCTGTAACAGTAGTAACAATTCACATCTATACAGTACTTTAAAGTTTGAAAATTCTTTCCATGCTTCACCTCAGTGAAGTAGCTAGTCCAAGCAGTTTTTTTGATTTGTTTGTTCTACTGAGCTGTAACTTTATTGGCATAAGTAGCTACCAGTAAGGAAAATGGCTGTGTTCTACCCTGAAGCAGACCGGCAGGTGTTCAGCAACTGGACTCAGAGAATTGCCTAGGGACAATGAGCCTTTAAAAGACTTGCCCCAGCTTCACACAGCCAAGCAAGACTCACAGGTGAGACTGAAAAGTCTTCTGGCCTCTGAAATCAGCTTTTACCCATACTACAACAGCTACAGTACAAGTATTATTATCTTAATTTTCAGATTAGGAAACTGAGGATCAGAAAGGTTAAGTGACTTGCCTGGGGTCACACAATTAATAAATATCAGTGGCAGGGATTCAAACCCAGGTCTCTAGATTCCAATTCCATTCTATCTACTATACTCTAGAATTTTATAAAGGCGGGAGTATAAAGCCAGAATGCATGCTGTAAGAAAACCATGCCATAACAATGAGGTCTTCACGCAGCATCACCATAACTTATCAGACTATCTGGGGAACCCTAATTATTTGTAATAGAATTTAAAAGTCGAAGGGCCCTTAGAGATCTAGTCCAATCCTATTTACAGATGAAGGAACTGAGGCCCAAAGAGGCCAAGTGCCTTACCCAGGATCACACAGGTAATAGTAGTGAAGGCAGGATTCAAACTCAAGTCCTTTGCAAATCCAGCACTCTTTCCACTATACCCCACTGCAGCAAATCATTAAGTAATATATTACAACCAAGAAAAGCATTCTAAGTACTATAAGAATTTCTTGCAATTCAACAAGCCTGTGTTATAAGCCTACTATGTACAAGAGACAGAAAGACAAAATAATCTTGCCCTCAAAGAGCTTGGGGGGAGGAGGGAAGAAGAGGGGGCAGAAGGGAGAAAGCAAAGTGGGATACAAACATGTATAAGAAGTTAAGTATAAAGTCTATACAAAATAATACAAAGTAATTTCAACAGAGTGCTAGAAACTGAGGAAATCAGAAAAGCCTTTTAAGTAGCACTTGAGTTGTGCTTTGAAAGAAACTAAAGATGTAGACAGAGTGCATTCCAGCCATAAAGAACCAAGCAAAGGTGCTGGTACGGAAGAGGGGCAGTCAGTCCAGGGACATTGAGCAGACCAGTTTGACTGGAATGGACTGTTGGAAGGGGAACAGTATGAACCTAGAGTGGAAAGATAGGTGGGTGCCAGATTGTGGAGGACTTTAAATGTCAAGCTGAGGATTTTGCATTTTATCCTAAAGACAACGTGGAGCTATTGCAAATGTCTGAGCTGATTTTAGTGATACTGATTTGAAAGTTAAATGGGGGCTGGGTTAGAGAAGGGAGAGACTAGAAGCAGGGAGCCCATTCAGAAGAGTATTGCAATAGTCCATGTGAAGGGCGATGAGGATATGATTTAGGGTAGAGACTGTGGGGGAGAAGAGAAGGCATGTGAAAAGTGAGGAAGTAGGATCAACAAGACTTGCAAGGGACTGGATATGGATGTTGAGAAAGAAAAAAAAGTCAAGGATGACTCCAAGCGTTTGAACCTGGGTGACTGGAAAAACACAGCAGTGAGGCCATCAGCAGAAACAGAGAACTTCTAAGCAGCTAATGGCAAAGTGGATAGAGTACTGGGCCTGGAGTCAGGAAGAATCATCTTCCTGAGTTCCAATCCAGCCTCAGCCACTTACTAGCTATGAGACCCTGGGCAAGTCACTTCACCCTGTTTGCCTCAGTACCTCATCTGTAAAATGAACTAGAGAAGGAAATGGCAAACCACTCCAGTACCTTTGCCAAGAAAACCCTAAATGGGGTCCTGAAGAGTAGGACACAACTGAACAACAAGCTCAAATCAGGCATTCCCTTGAGGAAGTCATTTCAATTCAGATTTATGCATAGATGTAATTATGAAAGCTACATGGAAAAGCTTCTGCAATATAGCCAACATGTATATACAAGATTGTGAAAGTTGTCTGACACAGCATATGTTGGCATGACATATTAAAAAGAAAAAAAACAATGCATTTGTAATGAATGATTACTACAGCATGATGATTTTTAATACAAGTCATGACAAATGTCATGTATAAGCAGAAAGGTACTTTTAGAAAATACAGTATGTTAAAATTTTGACCTTTCAAGATTTAAAATGAAAAGTTAAATAATTTCAATTACTGAAAAAGGTTCATGTCCCTGTCTAATTTTTTTTCTGAAGACCTGTGCATTTCATAAAAGCTGGCACCAATAATTTCTCAATCTCAAAAGAGACCAATGACAACTTCAATAAAAGCAGCCAAGATGTATTTTAATGAAGGGGAAATGAAGTGTAAAGATCGGTTGCCAAAAGGACACCTAGCCTGCTTTTAGCTCTTGACAACCCACTGAGACCTGAAGTCATTCAACCCCTTTGTCCTGATGAAGAAAGACCCTGTGTATTGGCATCCTCCTCCTCCACTGAAGACACAACTTCTTATAAGGGCGCAAAACTTCCCCCACAGAAGCACAACCTCAGCTGAGTTAGACAGATAAAAATGCAAGCTAGATCCTGAAGACTTTAAAGAAAAAAAAAAATCACAACTAATCCCTCATCACCAGGGAGAGAAATCATGTCACAACAAACCCTTCCCGGCTAGGCTAAACAAAACACAGGCAAAGAGGAAGAGAAAAAGACCCAGATGCATACTTCTCAGACGTATCCTTCTTAAGCCCCCTAACCCATTTCCATTCCTCAAAGTAGCCGGGGAGGGTAACCTCAACAGCATCCCTCACTAAGCTCCAAACTCGTGTGGTCAAGTCTAAGGACGAGTCATTCCTCTTCCTGCCCACCCACCCACACACTGCCGCTGCCATCCTGGGAAAAACCGACGAGTATGGGTGGGAAAGAAATACCCCTTCCAATCCCAGGAACAGGGGTGGGCAGAGCTATGGGCGGAAGGGACGACACTCTCCACCCGCCTGGGAGAGGAGGGGGCCGCCGCTGCTGAGTGACAGGGACCCTCTCCCCACTCGCAGGGGCCTTAATCCGGGGAGACTGCCGTGGGGATGGGGAGGCAGGCGGGGTAGGAGCGGTGGCGGCAGCCGGGGATGAGCAGCGACGTGGCACCGTGGGCGCTCGCCCCGCCCCTCCCGCCAAGCCCAGCCCAGCCCAGCCCAGCCCCGCCGAGGCCGGTTACCAGTTGCTCCAGATGCCGTAGAGCAGCTCCACGAAGGCGAAGGAGAGGTTCAGGCACAGGAACAGGAACAGGTTCCGGGAGGTCTTGTCCGAGAGGATGGACCTGGAGGAGGCAGAGACACAGACAGCAGAGCCCGGCTCAGAGGAGCTGGCGCTGGGGGCGGGGGCTGGAGGAGGCCCCCGCGCAGCCCAGGGAGACGAAGGAGAAGCGGACCCCTTCCTCCTTCCGCGGCGGCCCCCGCTCCCCGCTCACCTGAACCAGCCCGAGATCTTGCGGACCAGGTTGAACTTGGGGGGTTTGTATTCATCGTCCTTGATGGAGAGGGGCAGCATCTTCGCCCCGGACGGCGGGCCCACTCCCCGCTCCCTTCCTGCCCTGCTGAGGCAGCGGCGGACGCTGCGGCGACCCCTCCGCCCAGACCAGCCGGGACCCCTCCGCGAACCCTCTCACACTCGCACACACCGGGACACGGCGACTTCCGGCCCGGCCCGTCGCGCGTCTGCGCCCTGGGACGGAGAGGAAAGGGGAGGGGGGGGGAGCCGGAGCTGCCCGGGCCTTGCTTGTGGGGGGCGGGGCCTGCACATGTAGGAGGGGCGGGGCTTTCGGCTGGCTTAGGGGCGGGGCCTGGCTGGGGCCGAGCTAGAGCAGGGCTACCTCTGAGTCTGGGAGGGGGTGAAGGTCCCACTCAGCTGCAGCCGGGAGATTAGAGCAGGGATGTGTAAAGCGAAGGGACGCTCTGGCAATGAGACACCCAGGTGGAGATACACTCTGATGCATTAATACTAACCGGATCTGGGAAGAAGATTAAACAGTGGGGGGCAGTTAGGTGGCGCAGTGGATAGAGCATCAGCCCTGAAGTCAGGAGGACCTGAGTTCAAATCCGGCCTCAGACCAAACACTTGACACTTACTAGCTGTGTGACCCTGGGCAAGTCACTTAACCCCAATTGCCTAAAAATAAAAAAAAACTTTAAAAATTAAAAAAAAGATTAAATAATAATGACGATGATAGCTAACATTCATGTGGCCCTTTAAGGTGTTACAAAGTGCTTTACAAATATTATTATATCGTTTTATCCTCCCCAAAACCTTGGGAGATATATACTATCATTTTTCTATTTTTCAGACGAGGAAACAGAGGCTGGCAAGGCTAAGTGATTTACCTAGGGCTACACAGCTAGTGTCGGAGGCTGTATTGGACTGTATCCTGATTCTATGCCCAGCTCTTTATCCACTGTCACCTAGAACCCCAATGTAGGTAATGCAGTTGCAAACTGCCTTGGGGTAAGGTGGTGGAGGGTGCGTTACTAGTTGGTTAAGGTTGGCTTTGTGAAATGAAATATGAGTTGCCCCTCCCCACACACACACTGAATACAATTGGAGATAATGATGATGATAGCTAGCATTTAGATAGGACTTTAAAGTGCTTTTCATATATAGTTTCATTTTACCTTCTAGGAGATCATCTAGTAACTCTTGCGTTTTACAGACAAGAAAATAATAATAGCTAATATTTATCTAGTCCCTTTTAAAGCACTTTACACGTTATCTTATTTGAAATGGGGGTCCAGAGTGCATCACCCACAAGATCATAGATTTGGAACTGGAAGGTATCTTAGAGGCAATCGACTCCAAACTTTAATTAATTAACAAGAAAAAGAGAAATAATCCCTACCCTCTAGGAGCTTACATTCTAATGGAGGAAACAGGTTGCACATATATTTTACAATGAAGAAACTGAGGCCAAGAGAAGTTAAGTGGCATTCCAATGATCCCACAGGTTACAACAGTAATTGCATTTTTATAGCGCTTCACGGTTTACAAAGGGTCAGGCATGGGTCTTGCACTCAGGTCCTCTGTATTCAAATACAGAACTCTTTTTTAACTCCACTAGACCACTTACCCTCTTCTCTCCCTCCTAGGAATATTTATTAAAGTCCTTATCCCTGGTCCCCTTCAAGTCATCTTCCTCGGATGGTGTCCCATGCATCCTCGACAAATGACTTGCCCTTCACCCAATTGTCCATCTTTGCCCTTTTGCCAGCCTGAGATCTACTCCTCAGAGATAATAACAACCATAGGAAGATCAGCTCTCTTACAATAGCTGGACGACGTTTATCATTAGACTGATGAATTTCTGGAAACTTTTTGTGACTCATTTCCTTGCTCCATTCTCCTCCCTTTTCTCCTTTATCTACTTAAATATTCTAGGCATCCAGACAGTCTTGCACTGGCTCTCTAACGTAGCAAAATAACCACGATATTGTGCGAGTCATAGTTTTATTGGGCGACACGTATTTTTTTTAAAAAATCCCCATCTCAATGTCTACCACACCCCCACCAGGTTAACTGCACTGAGGCTGAACTTTTGGCTCAGTTCACTGAATGGATTATTTTAACTTTTAGAATTTGGTGAATAGCAAATTGCCCTTCCTTTCCCCCCACCGCAGCCTGGCCCCCCAACTCTCACCCCAGTAGAAATTAGGGGCCGATGTCTACTCTGAGAAGAGAAAGACTTCCGCGTTTCTTCGTCTTCACACATTCTATGTAATCTCTGTTGCATCAAAACTCACCAACTTGTTCCCCAAACACCAGCTATACCTTTATTTACCCAGGCAGTCCCTCTTTCCTGGAAGGCATCCTTTCAAGGCTAAGCTAAGTCGCGGTCTCCAAAGGGTAAGCTTTCCTGAGCCATAAAATCGTTGTATGGTCCTTTATGGCAGAAGAACTTGGGATGGGGGAACGGGGAACGGGGAGGGGGGGAGGGAGGGGGAGGATTGTTTATTTTCCATCTTTGTCTTTGTATCTCCTCTACACCTAGTAGAGTGCCTTGTAAGCAGTGGACACTTAATAAACGCTTGTTGAATGAATGAATCAAATGCATATATATATGCACATATATGCATATATGCATGCTTCCAGGTCATCCTTTTGTTTTTGTTGAATGAAGCTCAGGCTCTTAAAGACGATGGCACCATTGATAGATAACAATCACCATCTGCACAATTCTGCCTTCAGCGCTGTATTAAGAAGAATTAAGGAGAATTTTTTGTTTGGGGGGAAGTATCTTGCAGATTTATACATTTGAGGGACATCATAGTCTGTCTGTAAAATCAGATGGGAATGTGGATTGCAACAGCAAAATAAATCGCCTGGAGATCTTTACAGTAGCCCAAATCGGAATACCACTATCGCCTTCAGTTAATTGAAACATTCTAGAGAGTATTTAATACTGGTTAGAAACAATCATTGTGGCCTCATCACAGGGGGCGGGAAATGCATAGCTGGTACATAGGGCAAATGCTGTGAATGCTTAAAAGTTGTTTCCTTGGATAAGAATCAACTTGACAGAAGCGGAATGGAAGGGTAAGCTTTTGGGGTGAGCTGAAAACTACAAAACAGAGCTTCTTGGGTACTTCTGGATCCCCTGACAGGAAGTGGTACTCCGAGGAAAGGGAAGAGATTGCCACTGTTTCCTTTAAGAATATCTCACGTTGCGGGGCGGTGCTTCCCACCAGCTACCTCCTAACCGTATCAATCCAGGCTAGAAGACATTATTTCTGCGCGCTGTTTAATCTTGCCAAAATGAGCAAATTCGATCAAGGCACAAGCAGGAGCCTCATTTCCTTTTCTGATACCTGCGTTTCATTAGGAAAATAAAGCAGCGAGCCCGCACTGCAATCCTCTGCACTCTGTGTAGGTAAGAAGGCAACACAATACCCTCCCGTCGAAATATTCTGTAATAAGCATGTATATTTCTCTCTTGTTTATGGAATTCGTGAGGGGAGGGGGTGAAGAAGAGTGGCATGTTCTTGATTTAATGGGGGAAAAAATGCTCGTAGTTGGTGTTAAGGAATTCAAATGCTTCTTTTAAACGTAACTGCATTGAAGAGAAAATGAGGTTCCTGGAACGAAGTATTGAAAAATAGTACTTTCCTTCACCTTATTTTACTTCCATCATTTTTTATTTAAAAGGGTAAAAGTGTTTTAAATATCAGAATTTAGATTGTTGAGGAAGCCTAGTAAAATGACAGAAGACTGTATTCTATTCTGCTGCAGTGCTCAAAAAAATAGTCCTAGGTGGAAACTACATTGTATGATAGACAAATATTTTAAATAAGCTGGTCTTCTCTGAACCTGTTTCATCGCAATATGTTGTGAGCTCATGTTACAAAATGTGTAGAAAATAAAAAATTTAAACAACTAATTTTTCTCATTTTTCATGATCTTACCAAGGTCAGGTGCATTTCATATTTCCCTGTTTGTCCAATCAGACTTTGAGTACAAGCTATATTGCCCAGAACACACTAGCCCTACGAGTAGGCTTAAGGAGAAACCTGCATTCCAGATCTGAAACAAGCCAAAGGAATTAAAACTTAATTTCTGCCATATCACTTTCATGAGTCTTCTTGAATCCCAAAGCATTGCTAAGTTTGCATCTTTTCTGTCTTGGATCATAAGCAGAGAAAGACTTTTGTTATGGGAAGTGCTTCTTTTTCCATCATTACTTTTTAATTTAAGTGACAGTTATTATATATGTGCATGCATATTTATTTAAAGGAAACAAAAGCGGTCTCTAGTCAAAATGATATTTTGTTTACAAGTCATATTTTTAGCCTAGCTACAAAAAGAAGTACCCATCAAATTTTTCTTGGCATCCCCTGGGCCTTCCTTATTTCTTCTTCAGTGATCCTCATCTTGAACGATATTTTGTCTGTGTGTATTTTACAGTCAAAAAGACTTGCTTTTATACTCTCAGCTTATTAGGAAATGTATCTAATAAATTATAGAAACAATATTGATTTCTTTGTTTTAACAAGTAACATCCAGGTTAACAAGCATTTGCACTATTGATATTCAGATCAACAAGCATTCATTTAGCACCCACTATGTGCCATTCATTGTATTAAGAGCTAGATTTCTACATATAGATTTCTGTCAGGAAATGTTAAGGCATAGATTGGCCAAACTCCTTTCGATTAACTGCACTACACAAAACATGCAGAGTGGGACTGTGGTGGGGTAGGGGGGAGAGGGGAATGGGGAGAGAATGGCTTCACAGACCCACCTGGGCAAGGCTAAGAGGGACATCAGCAGAAGCAGCCACAGTGTCATCTCCTTGAAAATAAAAAAGATGTTTGCCAGCAGGAAACATGAACATTGTTGCTTACCATCAGATGCTACTCAGCATTAACATTTGTCTTCAAGCCTGTTTTAGATGTGGCTGTTTTAAAATCCTGCTGTTTTTATATCCGCTCCATTTTGGTAGACTAATAATCCTTTGATGGGATAACAAGATGCAGATTAAGCTACTACATAGCTGTTAGGTAAAACAGTCTACATGCACACAACATTCATTAAGCCAACATTTATTGAATGCTTACTGTGTGTTATATGTACTGTGCTAGGCTTCATTGAAGAATTAACCCAAAGCACAGGCATTTCCAGCTTAATTAAGGCATAGCTTTATTACTTATGGCTATAAGGGAGAGAACTTTTCAGTACAGAAAGGAATAATACTGTGGAGCTGCTTCTCATCCAGCTGTATGGCCTTAACAATTTTATAAGCTTTGAAAGAAAAAAAAAATCAAAGGTTTTAGTGGAAGTGTATAAAATTGGGAGATTAATGGAGGTATACAAAGTAGATAAGATGGCATAGGTATACAAAGTGGAATCACCAAATCTTAACCTCTGCTGAGAGAAGGGTGGGGAACAGATTGTTGGAATGTTTTGAGAAAGAGATAAAATGGTAACAGATGATTAATAATGGCAAGTAGTATAAACATTTCTATTTTCTGAATAAAATATAGCTTCCCATGGTGAAGAAATTTCTTCTATACATTACTTTCTTCAGGTTAACAATATCTGGTCTACCCTCAGTCCTTTCCAAGAACATTAAGCTCTCTAGAAACAACAAAACAGTAATCTTGGGATCCTTTCAGTCTAGAGCCCTGATTCCTTTAGGTATAAAGGAGATAAACAGATTAGACAAGTTCCCCTTGAAGGGTCAGTGGACACAGATTTAAACATCTATGCACATGTAGATAACAGAATGGGAAATTCCAGAGAGTTTTCTGAATGGCTGACATGATTTGGTTTCATGTCACACACATAATACATATTTGATAATTAGAGGTAATCTAGATCAATTCCCTCATTTCATTGACAAGAAAACTGAGGCCCAAACAGGTTAATTGACTTGCCCAAAGTCACACATCTAATAAGTGAAAGAGCTAAGATTTAAACCAGTTCTTCTGACTCCAAATCTAGCTCCATGTGTCAATATTTCAAAGGGTTAGACTCATGAAATAAATTCTTTCCTTTTCTACATTTCACAAAAGTTTTTTTTTAATCTTTTTAGGAAGAGTAGTAATAATAAAAATAGCCAACATTTATATAGAACTTTAAAGCATGAAAAACATTTTATGTATGTCATTTCCTTTGATCTTCTTGGGATACAGATGCTAGTATTATTCCCACTTCACAACTGAGGAAACAGACTGAGAGAGGTTAAGTGACTTGCCCAAGGTGACAGCCTTCATATGTCAGAAACAGGATTTGAATTCAGGTCTTTCTGACTCCGAGTCTTTTGCTTTGTACTTGACCACCTAGCTGAGGCTTCATATGAAAAACTTCCTATCAGTTTGTTACTAGTTATTTGACTCTGGAGAAGTTATTACCTCTGAACCTCTATCTACTTCTACATCTGAAAACTGGGAATCATAATATTGGCACTGCCTATCTCATAGGGTTAAGCTCCACTATAAATATGAGTTATTACTTTTATCATTATGAGTTCACTTCATCACCTTGTAAATTTAAACTTTGGAAATGAAACAGAAAATTCTAATGCACAACCAATTCCTAACAATAAATACTTAGCCTGTGGGGAAAGGTCTAAGCAACATTTTTTTTTGTTTGTTTGTTTTTATTTTTTCATTTTTCTTGCTGACTGAACTAAAGATCTCAAAATATTTTCATTCCCTTAAGAGTGCCGGGACAAGCTGTTACTCTCCATTGTAGAAGACAGGAGGGAGAAGTCCAAAATACTTTCCATGATGAGGTAAGTCTCAGGACTTTTATTTGAGAAGTTACTTTTCTTGATTTCTTTTATACAAAAGTATTTTTTGTTTCTTGAAAATAAAGTGTCTACTCAGAGTCAAAGGCTTGGACTGAATATTTCTTAAGGCCCTTTCCAAGTCTGATTCCACGAAACATAATCATTCTTATAGAATAAGACAAGATAAATGTATACATAAAGTATAAAATCATATCTCAAGTAATCAATTTAAAACAAAGCATTAAGGCTGTGAGAAAGCTCTAGCCAATAGTAGTGGCTCAGGAGTCATGAATTGTGACTCTGGCTTTTCACTGTTTGTGTGACTCTGGGGAAATCACTTATTCACACTGGGCTTCAGCTCCTCCCTCTGTGAATTAGAGTTAGGCTCTCATTACCTCTCTGTTGAACAAGAATCTCTTAATTAGTCCTTCTGCCTCAAATTATTCTGCCTCCTCAACCTACTCTAACCTTTTCCGACGAATTTTACACACGTCGAAAAAGTAATCTTCATAGAACACGTTTGAACCTTGTATCCATGAACATCCAAAACAGTGCCTTGCCTAATAAATATTGCAAACTGCTCAGTAAATATTCATTAAATAAATGAATGAATGTCATTCCCCTGCCCAGATATCTTCAGCATCACTCTCTGCTTTCTCTCCCATTGTCTATACAAAAAGTCTGCTCTCAGTCTGGCATTTAAAGGCCTTCCATGCCTGGCCCTAACCTTCCATTCCAGTTTTATTTCACATTTTTCTCCTTCATACACCGTAACTGTCAATTTTGGTTCCCTGGTCAAACAGCACCAAATGTTTCCTCAGATTATTTAAGGGTAAGGAGTAGGTTGAGGGGTGGGAGACAGACCATTACTGCAGAGGAATGAACCAGACACCCCATGATACTGGTCTCCATGGAGTAAGACCCCAGTATACCTTAGAGTTATTACTATGAAGGAATATAACTGCTATTTATAGCAGTTCATCTGATCATTCATTGGATCTTAGATTTAGAGGCTGGAAGGAACCTCAGAGGTTATCTATTTCATCCCTTTCCTTTTTCAGAGAGGAAACTGAAGGCCAAAGAAGTTAAGTGACTTGCTTGAGGGTTAATAGGCAGCAATACCAATGAAGTCCTTTGACTCTAAATCCAGTATTTATTCAATGAAGCCAAGGTCTTTTTTCCATGCTGTAGAGCAGTGGTCGCTGAACTTTTTCTTTTTGTTATATATTTCTTGAAGTAAAAAGTTTCTTTGCAGGCCCTTCAATATGAATATGTCATTTGTAAATTTTTATAATGGACTACTATACTAATTATTGTGTACTTTATAAAATGTATAAAAAGAATAGACATTTTAAAAAGTTGAGTTAAGATGAAATAATATTTGATTGTAGGATCAGTAGGGATTCACTGGAGTTTGTTGAGTAGGGGAATGACATCATCAGATGTGCGCTTTAGGAAAAGCACTTGGACAGATTGTGTGATTGTTAACTTCTGTTCCTAGGGATCCTGGACTCAGGGTTCAGAACTGTCTCCATTGGAATCTGAGGGGAGGTGGTGGTGGTAGTGGTGGTGGTGGTGCTTTGGCCCATTGAAGAGAAAGATTGTTCAGGGAGTCAAGAACAGATTCATGGAGGACGTAGTAGGTGACATGCACCAGACAGGTCACCGCTATCTCTGTCTGCCTATCTGCTACCTGTCTGTCTACCTGTCTCTGTATCACTCTGTCTTTCTACCTGTATATCTGCACCTCACTGGAATGATTTGAAATCGTATAGTAGTTATTATACCCATTTTACTGATAAAGAAACCGATTAGAGAAGTTAAGCAATTTGCCAAAGGTATATTTTTGTTATTGTTCGGTCATTTCAGTCATGCCCAAGTCTTTTTGATCTCATTTGGGGTTTTCTTGGCAATGATCTTAGAGTGGTTTGCCATTTTCTTCTCCAGATCATTTTACAGATAAGGAAGTGGAGGCATACAGAGTTAAGTGACTTGCCCAGGCTCACACAGCTAGTACGTATCTGAGGCCAGATTTGAACTCACGAAGATCAATCTTCCTGACTCCACTGCGCCACCTAGCTACATAAATGTAGTTATTATTGTTAGTAGTAGTAATAGAAGTGTTGATTTCACATATGGGAAGCTCAAGACTGACCATTTCACCCCCCTACTAAATAATCTCAAGTGATTCCCTGCTTGCTAGGATCCAGTGTAAACTCCCCTGTTTGGCGTTTAAAGCCCCTCACAACCTGACTCCAGCCTACCTTTCCAACTTCCTTATACATTTCCACACACTACATGCCAAGCAAACTTGCCTTCTTCATTTTCCTTATGAGCGGTACTCGCAGTCCTGTCTTTATGCCTTTGCATTGGCTGTCTGCCGTGCCGGGAAGGTGCTTCCTCCTCACCTCTGCCTCAGAATCCCTTGAAGTTTCCTTCAAGGTTCAGCTTAAGCCCTACCTTCTGCCTGAAGCCTTTCCTGATCCCCCCATCTGTAAGTGCCTTCCTCCCAAAATGGTCTTGTATTTATTTTGTGTATACCTGTATAAGGACATGTTGTCTCCCCTAGGCTCTATTGTAAGCTCCTCAAAGACTTTTGTCTTTAAATGACCAGCACATGGCATATAGTAGAAATGGAATAAAAAGCTTGTTAATTGATATAGAGTCAGCTGATTTTCATAACCACCCTATGAAATAGATAAATATTATTATTTCCACTTTAAAGTGGATTATTTTTTAAATTACTTTTATTTATTTTAAAAATATTTCCAAATTACACATAAAAATATTGGGACAATAATTTTTTTAAAATTTGAGTTCCAAATTCTCTTCCTCCTGCCCATCCCTCCCCCCTCCTTGAGAATGCAAGCAATTTGGTATCTACACATAGGAAGTCATGCAAAACATATTTCCCTATTAGCCATGTTGCAAAAGAAAACACAAAATAAAACAATAAAAGAGGAAAAAAAAGTATGCTGCAATACATTCAGAGTCCATCAATTCTCTCTCTGGAGGCAGATAGCATTTTTCATCATGGGTCCTTTGGATTTGTCTTGGGTCATTGTCTTGATCAGAGTAGCTAAATCTTTCACAGTTGATCTAAATCATTTATCCATTTTGACATTATTGTGATACATAGTATGAGATGTTTTGTGTATGCCTAGTTTCTGCCAAACTGTTTTCCAGTTTTTCTAGCAATTTTTGTCAAATTCATATCCCAAAAGGTTGAATCTTTGGGTTTAACAAGCACTAGATTACTATGGCTATTACTACCTAATCAATTCCACTGATCTACCACTCTATTTCTTAGCTAGTCTCAGATTGTTTTGATAATTACTACCTTGAAATATAGTTTAAAAACTGGAATTGCTAGGCCATCTTCCTTCACATTTTTTTTTCATTGATTCCTTTGATATTCTTGACCTTTTGTTCTTCCAATGAATTTTATTATTTTGTCTAGCTCTTAAAAATAATTCTTTGGTTGTTTGATTGGTATGGCACTGAATAAGTAAATTAACTTGGGTAGAATTGTCATTTTTATTGTTAGCTCAGCCTCTCCACAAACAATTAATAGTTCGCCAATTGTTTAGATGTCTTTATTTGTGTAAAAAGTGGTTTGTAATCACATAATCCCTGGATTTGTCTTGGCAGGTAAACTCCCAAATATTTTATGTTGTCTGTCATTATTTTAAGTGATTTCTCTTTCTATCTCATCCTGCTGGGTTTTGTTAGTTGTGTGTAGAAATGCTGATTATTTGTGTGGGTTTATATTATCCTACAACTTTGTTCAAGTTCTTGATTGTTTCAACTAGTTTTTTAGTTGATTCTCTAGAACTCTCTAAATATACCATCATATCACCTTCCCCTCCCATTTCCCTTTTGGGTAACATAGATTTCTATTACCATTTGAGTATGTATATATATTTCCCACTTTGAATCAGTTTAGATGTGGGTGAGGTTGAAGCATTGCCCATCCCTCCGCTTCCCCCCCTACCACACATTGTAAAATCTCTTCCATCTGTGCCTACGTGAGATAATTTTCCCCATTCTTTCTCTCCTTTCCCCCTTCTCTCAGGGCATCTCTCTCACCTGTTCTTTTTCTTTACATCATACCAACATACTTTACTCATTCCCACATCCTCTGTCTATGTAGAATCATTCTTGCTTAATTATAGTAAAGTTCTTAGAAGATACATGACATCTTCCCATATAAAAAGGTAAACAATTTAACTTTATTGAATCCCTTATGATTTCTCTTTATTGTTTACCTTCTTGATTCTTGTATTTCAAAGTCAGATTTTCTATTCAGCTCTGGACTTTTCATCAGGAATGCTTGAAAGTCCTCTATTTTATTAAATATCCATTTTTCCCTTGAAGGGTTATTACTGTTTTGCTGGGTAGGTTATTCTTGGTTGAAATCCAGGCTTTTTTGCCTTCCAGAATCTCATATTCTAAGCCCACCACTCCTTTAAATCTTGTATGTTTCTCATTGTGGCTTCATAATATTTGAATGATTTCTTTCTGGCTACTTGAAGTATTTTCTCTTTGACATGGGAGCTCTGGAATTTGGCCACAATATTCTGGGGAGTTTTCATTTTGGGATCTCTTTCAGATGGTGATTGGCAGATTCTTTCCATTTCTATTTTATTTTCTGTTTCTATTTTTATTTTATATCCTCTGGTTTGAAGACACCTGGGCAGTTTTCCTTGAAAAGTTCTTGAAATATGGTGTCTAGGCTCTTCCTTTGATCATGGCTTTCAGGTAATCCAGTCATTCTTAAAATATCTCTCCTCAATCTGTTTTCTAGGTCAGTTGTTTTACCAATGAAATATTTCAAATTTTCTTCTATTTTTTTCATTCTTTTGACTTTGTTTAATTATTGTTTCTTAATGTCTCATGAAGTCATTAGCTTCCATTTGCCCTATGCTAATTTTTAAGCGATTATTTTCTTCAGCAAGCTTTTTGTACCTCTTTTTCCATTTGGCCAGTTCTGCTTTTTGAAG